ACAGCCCCCTGTTGGTCTTTTAAAGTCGTCTCCCACCAATTCTCCACTTAAGAGACCCTTTAGAGACACACACTTTCTTAGAAGACGGGATTCAGCTTTAGCTGGTTCCTGCATGCTTCTCTGGCACCCTCTGGTGGTGAGAAGCTTCCTAGCGTTTGCTCATGCTGTTCTCTCTGGTTTTCTTGCTCTCTAGTACAGTGAAAAAGAACCCTAGTAATCCATTGCTTAAGCACTTGGCTGCTAACTCACAGGTTGACAGTTCAAGCCCACCACAAACCAGCCAGTGCTCCATGGAAAAAAGAGGTGCCAGTCTGCTCCTGTCAACATTTACAGGCTTGGAAACCGTGCAGATTAATTCCAGTTCTCTCCTGTATTTTTTCTGTGACTTGGAATTTGACAGCAACAGGGTCTTTAATGTGACAAAATATTACCTTGTCATTGTAAACATTTCTTGGCCCTTTCTGCATTCAGCCGTTTCTCCACGAGGTCTTCATTTCTTTAAGTGAGAATTTATTATATCAAAGCCCACCTCTGGGCCCTAGGAATTTCACTGCTACTTGCTTAAGCAGTTCTAGGTCTTTTCAGTGGACAAAGCTAGAAAACATATATTTGTGGGTATCATAACAGATCATCCGAGACGCTGGGCTGTACGAGGAGGAATGTGGCATCAGGATTGGTGGAAAAATCATCAACAACTTATGTTATGTGGATGACACAACCCTGCTTGCTGAAATGGAGGAGGACCTTAAGCGCTTGCTGCAGAAGGTCAAGGACTGCAGTCTGCAATATGGATTGAAGCTCAACATCAAGAAAACAAAAGATTCTTACCACTGGTCCAATTGGCAGCATCAGTATGGATGGTGAAGAGATTGAGATAGTTAACAGTTTTAGTTTCTTGGTTCCACAGTCAGCACTCTTGGTAACAGCAGCCAGGAAATCAGGAGATGAATTGCATTGGGAAATTCGGCTGTGAGGGACCACTCGAGAGTATTGAAGAGCAACGACATCGGGCTGGAGACTAAGGTGCGCCTGATCCGAGCTATAGTCTTTGCAGTTACATGCTATGCATTGGAGAGTTGGACAGTGAATAGGGATGATAGAAAGAGAATTGATGCCTTTGAGCTGTGGTGCTGGAGAAGAGTGTTGAATATACCATGGACTGCTAGGAGAACAAACAGCTTTGTCCTGGAGAAGGTGAAGCCGGAATGCTCCTTGGAGCCAAGGATTCTGAAGCTTCGTCTGACATACCTTGGGCATGTTGCAAGGAGGGACTGGTCCTTGGAGAGGGACAACATGTTTGGGAGAGTGGAGGGATGGTGCAGGAGAGGAAGACCCTCTATGAGATGGATCGATTCTGTGAGTGGAATCGTGGGAATGAGTGTGTTTGAGACGGTGAGGTTGGCACAGGATAGAACGGTGTTTAGGGCTCTTGTACAAAGGGTCGCTGTGAGTCGCAAGCCACTCGATGGCGCATAACAACATCGTAAGTGTGTATTTGTGTGATATATATGTAACAGGTATACAAGTATACATATATGTGAGTTTATATAAATAAGTGAACCTTTATCATTTTCTGTTAAATCTGTGTATTTTCGGGTGTCTCAAAGACACAGGTATAATACAATTAAATATTTTATAAAAGCCTTCTTTGCTTTACTTCATGGGCGAGACAGAGCATTTAATACCATCTTTATCAAGATATTTACAAACCATACAAATTGGTCATTTAACATGCAGTATTTGGTGGTTTGGGGTATATTTGCAAAATTATGCCTCAGTCATCACTACTTCTTTTCAGCACGTTTTCCCACAGGCAAGGAGTAGCCCCTTCCCATCCCATTTGTCACTTTACCCAGCCCAACTGTTGCTTTTTGCTCTGGAATCCGTTACTACTTTGCGGAGCTGCTCTGAAGGGGCTTTGATAGTCGGCACGTCTGAGACGCCTCTAGGTGAATTTTAACTGCCAGCCTTGGGGTTCGTCCATCCCTTAACCCTCGGCAACCACTTTCCGACTTCCTAGTTCTGTAAATTTGCCTGTTGTGGATACTACGTCTTCATGGAACCAGGGACTGTGTCTACTTGGTGACCGGTTTCAGACCCTCAGCCTGTTTTCAGTATTCTGTGGTCACGTGGTCCAGTTCTTTCTTTCCCCAAATTAACAAGTCTGCAACAACTGTTTGTGTTACAAGTGTTCGGCATAGATGTAAATTCTCTTTACTCTTGAGTATACATCTGGGATTGCTGGGTCATGTAGTAATTACATAACTTTTTGAGGAAACACCGAGCCAATTTCCAGAGGGGTTGAATAGCTTCACATTCCTATTAGCATTGGGCAGGGGTTCCAGGTTCTGTGCATCCTACACATGGTGTTGTCAGTAGTTTTTATTTCAGCCATCCTAAGCCAAAAAACAGCAAAAGCCCTTTTGCTTTAAATCCTACTCACAGCGGCCCAATAGCACAGAATAGCATTGGCCACTTGGGTTTCGTGGGCATAGCGTTATGGGAGCTGACTTTACATGCTTTTCTCATGGAGCTGATGGAGGGTTTGAACCACCAACCTTTTGAGTAGGCCACCAGGCCTCCTTTTAGTCATTTTGGTGCCTGTAAAATAGCAGTTCTTCTCCCTACCCCCCAGTTATATTTTCTTGAGTTAGACAGTTTTTCTTTCTCCTATTTCTTTCCAAGTTTTTTTCCCTTTCATTAATTTTAATGAACGTTTACAGAGATTTTGGATTTCCGTTCATTCATTGTTGCATTTTTCTCGCTGCCCACCCCTCCCCTCCTCACTCTTCTCTTTGAAAAGTGAAAGAAAAATTTCTTTCATTCCTACCCCCCTTTCCTAGTTTTTTAAGTTCTAGGCCTGTTATTGGAGAAGTTAGTGTCCTGATGTTTTGATCACCCTATAGCCCTACCTTAGGCTGAAAGTCGAACCACAGGTGTGACCTCGGTTTCAGGCTTGAAGGGTTCCTGAGGGCCAGAGTCTCTGGGGTGCTGCCGGTCTCTACCAGCCCAGGCAGCCAGGTCTTTTATTGAGTCCCGTTCTTCATTTTCTCCCACTCTGTGGAGGCCTCCTGTCGCCTCCTAATGGCCTGTGGTACTAGCCCGACACCATCTGGTTCTTCTCAGGGTTGTTGAGTCTGGCTTTTTTTTGTTATTATTATTTGTCTCTGTGTGTGTGTGTTTGTGTGTGTGTGTGTACCATCAAATCAGATTTGACTGGTACAGGAGGAAATTGTTCCTCCTTTTCCATCAAAGCATCTGGTGGATTTGAACCACTTACCTCTCAGATTGCAGTGCAGCTTCTTGCCACTAGGCCACCGGCGCTCGCTTGTTTCCAGGCATCTTTGATGTTCTTCCTCGTCTTTGCTGTGGACAGGAAGCTGCTGTATTTGATTGTTTGTGGGATTATTGTTCTCCTTTTGAGGAATTTAATCTTAATAGTTTTCTCTTGCTAGTTTTTGGGTGAAGTTCATTTTCTTGGCTGTTGTTTGCTTCCATCAAAGAGCGCCCCAAAGAGGCAAAATGTAGAACTGCCCCGTCAGACTTTCTAGGCTGGTCTTAATGGGAGCAGATCAAGGCCGAGATGGCCTTTCTCTCTCGGAGCAGAGTGGCTAGTAGAATCCACCTGTCAGCTTCACGGTTAGCAGCTAGCATCATGCTACCAGAGCTCCGATTTTGAGTAAAGTTTGTTTTTGGAACTGGGGTAGTTTTTACCTTCTCAGGAAGCTGCCTCTGCAGTGTGTGTCTGTGGTGCTCAGTGATAAATGGTAGCTTATTTTCTGGGACAACTTTGTTCTCTTCTTTTTTTTATTTTTTTTATTTATTTTATGTGTGTACCGTCAAATTGGATCTGACTGGTACAGGAGGCGATTGTTCCTCCCTCTTCAGCAGAGCATCTGGTGGATTTGAACCGCGTACCTCTGGGATTACAGTGCAGTTTCCTGCCACTAGGCCACCAGAGCTCGCCAACTTTGTTCTCTTCTTGTCTTGCACCTTGGTCTGAAACATCCCTTTTTCATCCTTTGCTGGTCAGTTTTTAATCAATTGCCAGAAACGTCTTCTGAACCAATACTTTTATCCTAGAAGGATTGAGAGCTTTGAATTGTGGTGCACGTAAAGAATATCGATTATAACTGTGGATTGCCAGAATAACAAACCGTCAAATCCATCTGGAAAGGAAGGCAGTTGAAAGACGGCTCGATTTTGCAGCTTTTGAGCAGGTTATCAGGAGGGTCTGGTCCATGGAAAAGGACTTCATAATTGGTAAAATGGAGGGCCAGTGAAAAGAGGAAGACACTCAGTGGGGATGGTGGACACAGTGAGTGCAACAGCTGGCAGCCATCATCAGGATGGGGTAGACCCCGGCACTGTTCCCTGCTGTTGTGCGTGGGGTCACTCGGAGTCTTAGAAGCCCCAGTGGATCTTTCTTTTTTCCTTTTACACACATTTGCAGAAATGTGAACATAGTCACAGGCCGCAGGACAGATGCGAGATCCACTCTGCAGCCTGTGCTCTTTCCTTAGTGGATCTATCTTGGGGATTCGTAAGGGCCGAAATGCCCTCAAGAGTCCCTCGGTGGTGGTTGGTGTCCACCCAAAAGGACTTTCACAGTCCGGTCCCTTGATCTTCAAAACAAAATTAGCCATTGTGGTGCCTCGCACTCTGAAAAGGATGACACTAGAAGGTCCTCACTCAGTTGATGGGGTGAAAACCGTAGATGAAAACTCAGAATCATAAAAAAGGCGAATAGTAAGACCAGGGAGGAATGTGCTCCCTACATGACCCAGCGATGAAAAGGCAGCATTTGCCCAGAGAGAGGTTCAGAAGGCAGGAAAGAATGAGAAAGAGTAACAAATGGTAATTTTAACAATGGACTTCTCTTGCACACCTGAGGTCACCGTGTATCGGAATCAACTTGATGGCAGCTGTTTTTGTTTTGTTTTTTTCTTCCCTTCCAGCCCCAGCCCTTGTGTAATTGAGAGCATGTTGTTTTTCAGGACTTTATGACCCTTAAGGACATGGCCATGGACTTCACCACGAAGGATTGGGAGCACCTGGGGCTGGACCAGGGGGACCTGTTCTGGGACACAGCACTGGAAAACTACCAGAACCTCTTTCTGCTGAGTGAGTGTCTGCCATTAATCCCCAGACTCCAATCCCAGCCTATCTGTCGATTCTCCCCCCCCCCCCACATTTAGGATCAAGTTCCAGCCCCGAAGCTCTCCACAATCAGCCCGAGTGACTTGCCCTCCAGCAGGCATTTGACAGTCTGGGGCTGGTCTGAGTTGTGACTGTGTGGGTAGATGAAGTACTCCTGGGATTTACGCCTGGGAGCCTGTCAGAATGCTGTCATGCACAGGCCAGCCCCCAGCACGGACCCATCCAGTCTCTAGTAGTCTAGCGGAGACTGAGAACTCTGACCTGTCCGCTCTCTAGCCCTTTCCTCCTCATCACCAGAGAGGAATCTCTCAAGCCTCTACACCAGGGTCCTTGCAGTTTCTCTTCCCCCTGCTTAGAAGGGGTCTATCTTTGCCCTGTGTTGGGACTTCCATGGTTGTAGACCATCAGCTACAACCCCTTCAAAACGCCACACCTCCCTTTCTGATTACTCAGCTCGTGACCTGTTTTCTTCTTCTAGCATGTGAACTTTGTGAAAGCAAGAATTTCCTACCTAATAATATGGAAGATGGTCCTAGTGTCTCCCAGCCCCTGCCCATTTTGTCCTCTACATCCCTGCTTGGAGGACCTTCTCTCTAACCCCAGGGGCCTTTTCACATACCATCCCCTGACATTTCCCTGTCCCTTTGCCCCAACTTGTATCTTTTTCCCAAGACACTTTCCAAAGTTCCCTCCCTTGTTGGGGTCAAGCTAGATTTCTTCACAAGGAAATGTGGACCCTGGGTCCCTCTTATTTCCCATCCCAGGCCTGACCCTCAGAAACCTCAAGGTGATAAATGTTTCCTGGGTGAGTGAGTGAATCATAAATGGATGAGGCACTGTATGCTTCTTGCTTTTCCCAAGCCTTCTCAGGTTCTTTGTTTCCCCACCCCCACCTGTCACGTTTCTGCTCACCTTGTGTGTGACCATCTGGGCTTGCATCTCTCGGCACCCACCCCCCGACCCCCAAGCCAGAGCTGGGCTTCCCGAGTTCATGGCAGAGGACAGAGGCGTGTGAGGGGCACGTAATGAAACAGGAAGGTTGGAAGACTCCCCCTGAGCTTCAGGTGGGCTGGTGGGTAACTCTGCTTTTCTCTCCCTGCAGACCCCCCCAGACCCAGCCTCACCTCCCTGTCAGGTGATGAAGAACCAGAGACCCTGGAGAGAGGAAGCCCAAAAGCAAAGGACCCTGGTGAGTGAGGGAGATCCGGGCAGGAGGAGAGAGCAAGTGGGGAGACCTGTGCCCTACGGAGAAGCTCTGTCCTCTGCAGTGGCCCTTGTCATCCTCCCTGTCCTCCGAGCCTCTAGCCATAGACTCCAGACACCGCTCCAGCATGTCCACCCAGACACCTACACTTGGCTTCTGGGTTTCGCTCTGCCACTAGCTGGCTTCTGTCCCCTTGTCCTGAATGCTGTTAAGACACTCAGACACTCTTAACAACTTCAACCTGCTGCCACGTCTGACCCTCAACCTTCAGCACAGATGTGTCTGTCCTACCCGCCTTCCTCTTTTTCTCCTCCTCTTCTTACCTCAGGCCCTTTGCATTCCCAAGGTCAGTTACCCCGGTGCCTTCTGCACCCTCAGCATTGCAGGCGCACACACACACCATCCAGGGTGGTGATTAGAGCACTTGACTGCTAACCATAAGGGCAGCAGTTTACATCATCCACTTGCTCCATGGAGAAAGATGTAGCAGTCTCCTGCCATGAAGATTTATAGCTTTGTAGACCCTATGAGGCCATTCTCTGTCCTGCAGAGTCACTGTGAATTGGAATCAACTTAATGGAGTCCTTTATTCTTTACATTGGAATAATAAATATGGTGAATTGATAACTATTTTGACTGTCCAAGGTCCCCGGTAACACTGTACATGAAACAGTCAACTGCTGACGAGAAGATTGGCAGATCAAACCCCCGAGCTTCTCTGTAGGAGAAAGAGGCAGCAGTCTGCTGCCATAAGACCTACAGAGGATCTCCTCTGTCCACTAGGGTTGCTGTGAATTGACCACAGTGGACTTGGTAGAGTTTTGGCTGTACAGGCCCAGCCCTCCTTCCTGACCCCAAGGGGTGTAGCTGATAGCCACATTTGTGGGTAATGAACTCAGGCATAAATGCCATTGAGAACACTCACTGCTATGGACCAGCCCCGGGTTTGTTGGGGTGGACTGGGTTAGGCCATTAGGATTCCAGGATCACAACCTCCCCAGTGAGAGGAACCAGAGGTGGGTACCTGGCCCAGAGCACAGACGAATCTTCATCATAGTACTATCGCCATGAGAAGAGGCCCAGAACCAAGACCATGGACATGGTGTCTGCACAGTGCAGGCCCACCTCCACCTGACCTGGTCAGCCTCTACTGAGCCCCCAGCAGCCTCCTCTTCTCACACTAGTCAAGTGTCTCCAGTCTACTGGTCAGGTGTAGATTCCTGCCACCTCTTACTCTGTCAGCATGTTGCTGTGTATAAGCAGTCACCCTTCACCTGTAACCATCAAGTTGATTCTTACTCCTCATGACCCCACTACATCAGAGTAGAACAGCTCTCAGTAGGGTTTCAGTGGCAGATTTCCCAGAGTGGAACCGATGGGATCAAAACCTTTCCATAGGTGTGTTGTGAACTTCTGGAAGCAAATAGGTAGGCTTGACTTCCAGGACCTGTGGATAGATTCAAAACACCAACCTTTCAGCCAGTCATCTGTGGCACTAGGAACTCAGTACAGGATTAGGATTTTAGCACATAACCTGGGCAAACACACAGTTCAGTCCATATTAGGATGTCAGAGAAAGGTGATACCCAAGCTGGGCATTAATTACATACACATCGGAAATGAGAACATGCTAGATTTGGGGGATTGCAAGAGTCTGTGGGGCTGCCACAAGAATGTTGAGCAAGCTGTGGAAATGTTGAGTCTTGGGGATGAATTGGTCATATCTGCTTATTAGAAAGCCTCTTAGGGCTGGTGTGTAGGACTAGAAGAAGAGAGTGATGTCCCGGGAGGAACCTGGGCCCAGATGGAAGTTGATACTAGAAAGGGAACTGAAAAAAATTTGAAAATAGTTTGACCGAAAGCCGTGCTTGAATATAATGAGGACGGGAAAGTGGAGGTTGCTTTCTCAGATTCTGGGTTGAAGGACAGGTTGGCTATACTGGGATGGGGGCCCAAGTCACAAGATTTGGGGGACAGGGAAGGAGAGCAGTGAGAAAAATTTAGAAATGCTTTATGAGAAGTGCTCAATAATATAGATGTGAAGGGTGGTGGTGAATTCTCCTTCCCTGTCGGAACCCAGCTGTTCCCCAGCTCCCTTTTTAGACCTCCTGAGAGTGTGCTCACAGTCTTCTGTGACGAGGGTGCAAGCCAGACCACCACTTTTCTTTTCTTTACCTTTGTCCCCTTGATGTGGCTACTCACCCACATTGTCAGCCAGCAGTTCCTGTCCCTCTGCCCTCAGCAACAGGAGACATTTGCACTTCTCATCTCTTTCAGACATGGTCGAGCCCAAGAACTTGCCCCTTAAGCAGGACTTGATGGAAGAAGACCTATCCCAGGAGATAATGGAGACCTTATCAAAAGACGGCCTCTGGTACTACAATTTGGGGGAAGTGTGTATTGGTGAGAACTGGTTAGATAATTTGATCGGAGATCCTGAGAGCCTTCTGAGGTCTGACTTTGTCACCAACAAGGAAAGTCCCACCAAGTGCAGCAGTCCAGAGCTCAAGAGAGATGTCAGTCCCAAGTCCTTTCTCGAGGCAGGAGAGGACACAACGGTGTGTGAACTTCCCGAAGAGAGCCCCATGCCAGCAGAACCTCAGCAACTTCAGGATGACTTTGACCACCAGTCAGACCAGAGCCAACAGGAGGTGGCAGCCCAGGGCACTGAGAAGCTGTACAAATGTAGCGAGTGTGGGGAAACCTTCATTCAGAGTTACCACCTCATCCAGCACTGGATTATTCACACTCGAGAGCAGCCCGCTGACGCGGGCCAGGACTGCGAGGACAGACTCAACCAGAACGCTTACCTTCCTGTGTACCAAGCACCCCACCCAGGCTATAGACCTTACGTGTGCAACGTCTGCGGCATGACCTTCAGTCATAATATGCACCTGCTGTGGCATCAGAAAATCCACACTGACGAAAACCTGCCCAAGAGTCAAGACACCGCCACCCAGGTGTCCAGTCAGAGCACAGAGCCCGTTCCGTGTCAGAAACCCGAGCCAGCTGGCAGATCCTACACTTGTAGCCAGTGCAACAAGACGTTCAGCCGGGCCTTCCACCTCAGCCGCCATCAGCAGACCCACTCCCGCAAACGCTATGAGTGCACCCAGTGCAAGGTGACCTTCAGCCTGAGCAAGCACCTTGTCCAGCATCGGAAGACTCACGTCATCAAAGCTCTTTTCCAGTGTCAAGACTGCGGGAAGTCCTTCCGGCGCGCTGTGTCCCTCATTGAACACCGGGCCATCCACACAGGCGAGAAGCCGTACAAGTGCGATGAGTGTGGCAAGGTCTTCAGCCATTCCTCAACTCTGAAGATCCACCAGCGGGCTCACAGCGGGGAGAGGCCGTACACCTGTAGCGAGTGTGGCCGGACTTTCTGCCGGAGCACTCACCTCAGTGAGCATAAGAGAACACACACGGGGTTCCGGCCCCACAAATGCCCCGAGTGTGTCAAAAGCTTCAACCGACCCTCCCACCTGATCCGCCACCAGTCCACTCATGCCTCCGACAAGCCCTACAGCTGTGCCGACTGCAAGAAGACCTTCAGCCTTAACGAGCACCTCATTCAGCACCAGAAGATCCACACTGTGGAGGCCCCCTATGAATGTCAAGAATGTGGAGAGAAATTCATTTGCAGCTCAACCCTAAATTGCCACCAAAGCGTTCACACCACAGAAAAACAAAGATTAGAGGAGAGCAGGAAGCTTGACGTCTTGAGTCAGGACTCCCAACCCGAGGAGCCTCCAGGGATCAGCTTGAAACTCTTTAAGTGTGGCAAGTGTGGGAAAACCTTTAGCTGCAGCAGATACCTCAAGCAGCACCAGCGGATCCATACCAGGCTGAAGCCCTTTGTGTGCAGCCGGTGTGGGAAAGCCTTCAGCCAAAACAGGCAGCTTATTCGCCATCAGAAAATCCACTCTCAGGGAAAGCCCTACCAATGTAGCGAATGTGGGAAAGCCTTCCGCCTCAGCTCCTTCCTCACCCGGCATCAGGCCACCCACACCAGCGAGCACCCGTTTAAATGCGACAAGTGCGGAAAGACATTCTGCCAAAGTGCACAGCTTTCTGAACATCAGTTATTTCACACTGAGGAGAAACCCTTCAAGTGCAAAGAGTGTGACAGAGTCTTCCCCCAGGTCAAGTACCTTGTGCAGCACCAGAGAACACACACCCAGAAGACGCCCTTTGAGTGCAGTGAGTGTGGCAGGACTTTCCGCCAGAGCTCGTGCTTTTCAAAACACCAGCGCGTTCACACCGGTGAGAAACCCTACCAGTGCAGCGACTGTGGGAAAACCTTCTGCGTGGGCACCCAGCTCACCCGACACCAGAGAATTCACACTGGGGAGAAGCCTTACGTCTGCCAAGAGTGCGGGAAAGGCTTCAGCCAGAGCTCGTGCCTTTCCATCCACCAGAGGATTCACACCGGAGAGAAGCCCTACATCTGTGTCACATGTGGGAAAGCCTTTTCCCAGAAAGCCAACCTGATGCAGCATGAGAAAATTCACTCCGGTGAAAAGCCCTACACCTGTGAGGTGTGTGGTAAAGCCTTTAGCCTCAGCTCCCACCTCAGCCAGCACCAGAGAGTTCACAACCAAAAGAAATTTCACCCGTGTCAGCATTGTACCAAAGTCTTCTGGAGCTGGTCAGGCCTCACACGACACCTCCGAGTTCATGCTGAGAAGAAATAGAAAGTAGCCTTATTTCCCAGGGGAGCAAAGTCACAGACTCTAGAATAAATTCAACTCTGGTCAAATGTTGAAACACCTACTCTTGACAGGCTCCCTGTTCCGAAATAAACCTCTCCGTGAATAAAGACTTAGAAAATTTGCACAAATGAATTGCCCAAAAACACACAAATATTGAGAAGCAAAAGAGTGTGGATTTCAAAAGGTAGACCAGTCTGACTGGAGTTAGAGTCCATCATTTGTGTCCCAAGTGGCCTTGGAAACACTACAGAACCTCTCGAGGCCTCAGAGTCCTCATCTGTAAAATGGGAATGAGAATATTTGCCTACCTCAGAGGGCTCTTGTGAGGATTACTTGAGTTCATACACGTAAAGCACTTTGAGTTTCCAGCATTTAGGTACTCAGCATGTGGAAGCCGTACGAAAATACAGGTTAGCAATAGCGTTGATACACTCTTATATTAAAAGGAAGAAAGGAATTAACTTTCCATCGCCTGACTGCACTTGATGTTCATAGTAACATTAACCACAGCTGTTGTAACTCAATTTTCTGCAAAATGACCCCCTTAGCTGAATTTGGTTTAAAAAACCCAGCTCCTTACTCTCTTTAACTTCTCTTTTCTTCCATCTCTATGTTGTACTGGGAGTGTTTTCTTTTTTAAAAAAAAGAAAACAAAAAACTAGTCCCAACAAGCCAAGAAAGCGTGCAGATTCTTCACATCTGAAAGTTAAAACATTCCATTCCTAACCTTGTTACCTCTCACTAAAGAAAGAACTCCTCCCACTACATTCCCCTCCCTGATTTAAACCCTTAAGTCATGTGAAACTCAGTTCTGTGTGGCAGTCAACCATACTGAGAACACCACTTAACTCTGAAAAACTATGTTAAATATTGCCACCCTGCTGTCGACTTACTCAGAAGAGGTGCATGGTGGTGAAAGTGAAGATGAAAGGAAAGGATAGCTTACTGTTCACCAAACATCCGAACCAGCCACTCACCAGGCGCATCGGGGGGCCTCGGGTGGGTGAAGAGCAATAGACCTAGTCCTTTCCCTGAAGCCTCCAGAATTGATTGAAGTCCAAGATGTCCCATTCATTCATGTCACCTAGCAATTTGCATGGCCACCAAGAATTGTTGAAGAGTCCATTTAAGAAGCAGTAGTGCCCTTCAGAGCCCCCAAGTAAACCATTCACCTCAGGGTCTTCTAGAAGCTAAGACTCGCCTGTTGGAGCCCCAGTGCCGGCACCTTAGTCATGGAGCTGCCTCAGCCCCAGGCATCTGTTTTCTCTCAGTTAAGTAAACCAGCCCTGTGTTGACTGAAACGCAGTAGAACCTCATGAAAATGTTGGATGCTAACACTCTTGTTGGTACTCTTTCATGCTTTTTATTGCTTAATGTTTACTGGTAAATGATCAGGAGTCTCGGGGCTTCCAAAACCTTGCCCCCGAGTTCTGGTTTGTTTTGTCATTTAAGCTGTTTGGGAACTGACAGCTGCCCACACTGCAGTGGAGAGCACCTGGCTGACCATAGCCCATCCCTGCACTCAACTCAGCACTTGCCCTCCAGAACCCTGTCTGCTCTGGGAGAGACTCAAGGGATGTGTGTGGCGTGAGGGGAAGGTCAGAGTCAGGCGCACAAATCGATGGGCTTGTTGTGTGTTGATAGTGTTGTCATCAGAGGGCAGTGTCTGTAATTGGTGACCTCTGTGGCTGTGGGCCAATTGAGGCCCACCCACCATATGTGCACATTTGTACTGTGAGCCATTAAAGTTTTGAATATAAAACGATTGGTTTCTTCTCTCTGCCCAATGCCACCACACACCTGGCCAGATGAGGCAGGTGCAGAGACCTACCTGCAGAACACTAAGGTTCCAGTGGGAGAAGGGGACAGAGAATGCTACACAAATAAGTACAGTTGGCCCTTGAAAAATCCAGGCATTGACCTGGTTCACTCCTAGCACAGATTTGAGTGCTGGTCCACTTCCCACAGATTTATTTCCTCTTGCTGTTGTAATGAGCAGATGTGTTGCAAGTATGTTCTTAAAATGTGATGTTTATCAGCCCTCTGTGAAATGTTTAGCAACTTCTGAGCTCACTGCTATAGCAGTGGAGTGGTGGAAGGGAGAGGAAATTGACTATAAATGGCTGAAGTCTATGTTCAGGGATCAACTGAGAGGGCAGAAGTGGTCATTTGTGTTTGGCAAGAGAGAGAAGTGGGCAGAGAGGGGTCTGGGAGAGAAGGCTTGTGGCTGAGGGGCCTGGCGTCTCGAATGGGAACATTTGAGATGAGTGCTGAAAAGCAAGGAATGTCCATGTGAGGGTGGAGGTCTTGGTTTGGAGTGAGGCCCAGGCGTTGTTTGATGGTGTGTTAGACCCACAGGTGACCACAGTGTGCAGTTGAGGCTGGGAACCACCAAGGAGAGGGTGACTAAGCTGTGTCTCAACAGAGAGCAGGTCTTGAGGAGGGGCTTGGCCAGGAATTTGCAGAGTCCAAGGCTTCCCAGCTTCACTTGTTTGCTAACCCAGAAGACAGAACCCCTTGCTACTGAACCCACAGCGGCCTTCCCCTAGGCTTCTTCAACTGTTCGTTCTACTTGAGGAGACTCCCCGTCTTTCTCTTTTGAAGCACGCAGTGGATTTGAACTCCTGTTAGCAGTCACACACGGTACACACCACACCACCAGGGCTGCTAGTTGTAATGGGAATGCAGGAGTAGAAACAGTTCCCAAGTAATTTCTGACCCAGCAAGCTTGGAGGGCTGCGTAAAACCAGCCCACCAGCTTTCCAAGACCAAAATCTGTATGGAAGCTTTCCGCCGCATCTTCCTTGTGGAGGCTGTGGTTGGATTCAATCGGAGAACTTTCTAGTTAGCACCAAGGCTCCTAACTGGCAATCTAGAATGCACCAATTCAGGCCCCAGTGTCTTAACTCATATATGAGAACTATATTCCCATTCCACAGCTTTCCACTTGGAAAGATTGGAGGTGATTGATTAGTTCAATGGGTTTACTCTGAGAGTTTACATGTCTGTTCCTAATTATTTACTCTGTTTACCAAGAGCTGTCATGTGACTTTCAGTGCTTGGGGGGTGGGCAGGGGGGGTGGAGCAAGCTTCCTTTCCCCTTTGAACGCCCAGCATTTTTAGGGGAGCTCTGGTGGCCTAGTGGCAAGAAGCTGCACTGCAATCCCAGAGGTATGCAGTTCAAATCCACCAGATGCTCTGCTGGAGAAGGAGGGACAATCTCCTGTACCAGTCAGATTTGATTTGATGGTACACATACAAAAAATAATAAAATTAAAAAAAAAAAAGTCCAGCGTTGTTATGTGATGAGTTAGGGCCAATAGAATGGGAGCAGACATGTTGGTATTGTCAGGGCTAAACAGAAACTTTTAGGCATTGCCCAATTTTTCCCAAAAAGAATGGTGCGTCCCAGATGGGGACCACTCCTTCCACTGGGGTTCTGGAAGAGGAGTGTATACCTAACTTTACTGACCTTCGTATGTGTGAGTTTCTATCATAACCAGCAAAGTGCAGAAATCATTTGGAACCGTGACAGAACGAACTCGCTAAGCATCTTGTCGGTTTGAATTTACATCCACCCCCAAGAAAATACGTGTTGAAGGTCTGTGAAAACAAAGTGGCTGGATATCAGACCACAGTCTTCACAAGAAGGAGCAATTGCAGCCACTCAGGGATGGTTCTGAAGAGGCAGAGGTCAGAAATGCCTCCTCTCCAAGCTTTTTACCCATCCTGCCACTGGCTTCCCCTCCCATGGCACTCTGCCCTGCAGGGCTTGATAATTTATTGCACTGACCACACAGACCTCCCGTTGACAGGCTGTTGAGGTTCAGGAATGTTTGATTACATAGGTCTTGAGTCACAACAGCTTGGTCGTCCCTCCTGGCTGACTTGGACTTGCATGGCCTCAACTCTGCCTGTTAAAAAGCTCTACCAACAAGTACCTGGAGACCACCACCACCCCGCTCCCAGCAAGCTTCTGACCCAAAACCATTCAGCTCTTAACTTTGTGCCCACTTCCCCATGGTAGCTACCTTGCTTCAAGGGTTAGCAAGCCCACTACACCATGTGGCACCTGTGTCCTGTCCTGCCACCACTACTACTTTGGTTAACCTGTCTCCAATGTTCCAGCCCTCCCTGGGTCTAGGAGGTCCTCAGGGCACAGACTTTGGGCCCAAAGGACGTACCCTACTCCCAGCCTCTCTTTGTGGCAGTGAGACACCCGTCCTAGTTGATCTACCATGACATGATAAGGGAATCTTGTAAGGAGGTTAGGACAGAATGTCACACTCTTCCATAATGAGGTCACAGCCCTGAGCTATGTAAGGGGAGTGGCCCTGGGGTTTGGCCCTCATTGTCTTTCATAAGAGAAAAAAAGGAAAGATAGATTTGGGGGGCGGGGAGGAACTTAGCACCTCCAATATAGAGTGGGAGTGGAGTGTGCCCTTGGACCCTAGGTCTCAGGAGAAGATGGGTAACAAAGATTCCCTTAGAGCTGGTGCCCTAAATTCCGTTTTTCTCATAAATTGCGTACACCTTATTGGTATGGGCATGCCTTCAATGAAATAGGTTGGCACAGTGATGACAGCGACGGCTTGATGCCACGGCATACAGCAAGGTCCAGATCTCTTGTTCATAGGGTCCCTGTCGGTCCTAGTCAACTCAATGGCATGTTAACAGTGACAGCCACCCACACAAGACTGCATACACCTTGCTTCTATTCGTAAGCTGTCCCATCACCGTGGTCAGCCACAAGCACCCTATTTGCAAGTCCTGCTCAGTCTTTTGAGGAGAGCATCAAGACTCAAAACTAGAAAGGCCATAGGGACGTGACTCTGTGGTACTGAGCATAAACATGACCTTGAAAGCAGACTGAAGATCGGTTAGGTTCATACGCCATCAGACAGCAGGAGAGCGCATTTCAGACGCAAACCCGTTGCTGTTAAAGCCGTTCCAGCTCATAGTGACCCTCAGCTGTCACTTGTAAGACTAGGACACTGCTTATGTTTGTGCCAGAGAGAGTGCTGGAGGATTCCAGCTCACAGGAAAGCAGGGCCTTAGGGTGAGTTCACCACGCACTACAGCACCTGAATGAGTCCTGATTTATATCGAGGGCCCTGATAAAAGAGGAGATACGGTAACGAGGCAGCAAGGACACAATCTGAGCCTGTGGTTAAAATGTGCAGAATGGCAGTTTGAATCCACCAGATGCTCTGCTGAAGGAGGAGGGACAATCTCCTGTACCAGTCAGATGCAATTTGATGGTGGTAGTGGTGGTGGTAAGTGCCGTCAAGTCACAGGCGACTCATAGCAACCCTATGAAGGAGAGTCCTCAATGCTTGTGTGTCTTTCATCCTCTCTCCAGGTTCATAGGGTTTCCGGAGGCAAGCTATTACGGAAGTGGATGCCACTCCTCCTGCCACGCTTGTTTTAATCAGGGAGCTCCACCAAACACTGTCCATCCATTGGGTAACCAACCATTAATGCATTTGACACATCAGTGTCACAGTGTTCAGCCTCACAGCAACCACAAGTTACCGCTGTACGGCAACTTGTACACCAGGGCTATACGACCTAGAGGAATGTTTGAGGAAAAACACTTAACAAAAGGCATTTAAACAAACAAAAAAAATTGATGGTACTCACAAAAAATAATAAAAACTAAAAAAAAAAAAGCAGAATGGATAGGAAGATGCATGGGGAACAATTGGGGAGGCTTCCTGGGCACACCCAGATACCTCACAGGAGAGATTTGCTGGATTTGAAGGCTCAGGGTGATAGGCTCACGGGTCAATGATGTTAAGGATAACGTTCTTCATCAAGAGCAGTATCAAAGAGACAACCGTGGACCTCTTCCCATCCAGCTACAAAGGAACACCTGGAGAGTGGGCTGTATGTTCATTGCTTTATAACAGAAATCCCGGGGCACATGGCTTAAGCATCCAGAAGTTCCTTTTAAAGTTCCAGAAGAGGGAATTGGTTCACACGGGAACCCCAGTCTCTTCCAGTCTAAGAGCCAGCTTGACGGGGGCCAGCTGCCACTGCTAATCACTCTGACCAAGGAAACAGTACAATGTCCTGTTGAGAATGAGGATAAGAAGACACAACATATGCACACCCACGTTTATTAAAGCTTTGTTCACAATAGCAAAGAGCTGGAAACCACCCAAGTGCCCATCAGCAAACAAATGGATAGAGAAGCTCTGGTATATTCACACAATGGAATACTATGCAGCTTTGAAAAACAAGGAACTCATGAAATATGCAAAATGGGTGACCCTGGAGGACATTATGCTGAGTGAAATATCTCAGTCATAAAAGGACAAATATTGCATAGTGCCACTATTGTTAAATGGGATTGATATCAGAGTTGGGAAGAGACTGAGAAAGATGGGATAAATTATGTATACTGCATTGAAACAGATGAGGGAGAGAACTGTTTAAAAGGGATATGTGATTGAGTATTCTTGCCATGACAGAAGGCTGCATAGTGGAGTGCACTTGAGGGAAGGGATTATATAACAATGAAAGAGTTTTACTTTTCAAAGAGAAGAGCGAGTAGGGAGGTGGAGGGGCAGGGAGAAAAGTGCAACAATGAATGGAAATCCAAAGTCTCTGCAAACCTTCATTAAAATTAATAATTTAAAAAAGAAGACACAACATAATTCAATTTTTAAAAGACCAGATTTAATTGATGGAGACCAGAGGAACTTCCATGGCTGTGTCTCTACGACACTCAGTGTGGACTTGAAACCACTCCCAGCAGTCACCGGGGAGCTGAGCGCTAGGTGAAGAAAGTGTCCCTTTAAGTGTAGGAACAATGGTTTTAAGCACTCATCTGCTAATCAAAAGCTCAGTGGTTCAAGCCCAGCATTTTCTCCACAGGAGAAAGGAGGAGGCAGTGCACTCCATGAGGATTTACAGTCTTGGAAGCCCTGGGGCAGTTCTGCTCTGTCCTGCAGGGTCAATGTGAGTTGGAGTCAACTCAGGAGCCATGAGTTTGTTTTTCTGGGTGTGTAAGACCCCGACGGTGAACATTTACACAAAAGCAGATGTGAAGAAGATACAGAAAGGTGGAGAAATGATGAGGGGGCTGACACGTGGCGGAGGGGGCAGCCAGTGTCATGTGACAACTCGTGTATATGAATGGTTGAATGGGAATCTAATTTGCTGCATAAACATTTAACTAAACATTCATGTATTTTTTTATTATGCAAAAATTAAGGACTTTTTTTGTGAACAGAGGAGTGGGGGAGGGAGGAGAATGTGCAACTATGAAAGAATGAAAATCCAACTTTTCACTGCAATCCCAGAGGTATGTGGTTCGAATCTACCAGATGCTCTGCTGGAGAAGGAGGGGCAATCTCTTCCTGTACCAGTCAGATCTGATCTGACGGTACACACAAAAAATAATAAAAATAAATTTTTTAAAAATCCCACTTTTCTATAAACTTTTGTTAAAATCACAATTAAAATTAAAAAATTTATTTAAGGGAACTCTGATGGCCTAGTGGCAAGAAGCTGCACTGCAATCCCAGAGGTGCACGGTTTGAATCCACCAGATGCTCTGCTGGAGAAGGAGGGACAATCTCCTCCTGCACCAGTCAGATCTGATTTGACAGTATACACGAAAAATAATAGTTTTTTTAAAAAATCACAATAGAAAAAAAATAAAATGGTGTTTTTTAAGTCCACAAATGCCTGAAGTTTCCAAAATGTAGGAAAGAGAAGCCTGTAACAGAAGCCCTCTGAGGGTCTCAGAGTCAACGCGGTCTACACCATGACCTTGGACTTGCAGCCTACAGAACCCTACAACAATAAGCTGCTCTTCTTAGAGGCCACCCCACCTGTGGTATGCGTTACAACAGCCCTAGGAGACTAAAACACTCTGTCCTTCTCAACAAACAAATATGTACTAGCAGGTCTTGGAAGTATAAATAAAAATAACATTTGACTGCCCAGAGTTTTGCTTTAATTCTATGTGGCAAAATAGGGGGAGCCTTGGTAGCCTAGTGGGTAAAGAGTTTTGCCACCAACTCAAAGGCAAGGAGTTCTGCTCCACCAGCTGCTCCAAGGGAGAAATATGGGAAATCTCCTGTGTGGTTCTGCCGCCTTTGAAAACCTGCTAGAGGGTCAGTTATGAGTCAACAGCACAAAACAAACAAAAAACGTAACTACACCAATTAACACAATTGAAAGCCGATACACACACTGACAGGACCCACCAGTCATTGCCATGCCAAGGATAGCTAGCTCAGTGATGACCGATCGGGGCTGAAGACCGTGGCTACCAGCAATGGATTAATATCCACCTCCACCACCACCACCCCAAGAGGAAGGTCAGCTAAGACCAGTATGCAAAGTTACGCATTTGCTAATTTACTGAGTGGAAAGAGGAAGAAACTGAAGCTTGTTACCAACTTCTGCATTCGGAAGTCAATCAAACTTGCAGTGAAGAAACACAGATTGTTAATAATAGAAGCGCAGAAGTTGGAGATTCAGAAGGACTGGTAGTGGGAAGGTACAGTTTGGTGATAGGAACGACGCTGGAGACAGCATGTGAGGACTTCAGGATACTAATGAGCTTTTCATTGGCTGCATAAACCTAGGACTGTACACATGCAAAGGAGAGCCCTGGTGGCGCAGTGGTTACGTGCACAGTTGCTCAACAAGAGGTCAGTGGTTAGAATTCACCATACATCCAGAGAGGCAGCCTGCCCATGCGCTGTGTCACCTCTACAGAAGCTGGCTGCCTCACCCTTCTGCAGAGCGGCTGCTGGATTCTAACCCACTGCTGCTGGATTCGAACCACTGCCCCGCCCGGCAGGGCTCCTCTGGCCTGCACGGCCCCTACTTACCCACCCTTGCTTAAGTTCAGTCTCTGTGTTTTAGAAAGACACAGAGAGTACCTTATCCGCCCAGGCTGTTCTCCAAGAAAGGAGCCCTGGTGGAGCATCTGTTAAGTGCTGGGACGCTAACTGAGAGGTCGAAGGTTCAAACTCACTTAGCTCCACGGAGAAAAGGCCTGGCTCTCGCTCCTGTAAAGGTCACAGCCCCAAAAATCCCTGGGAGCATTTCCCCGCTGTCATACGAGGTCACTGTGAGTCAGCATCAACTCATCAACACACGATTAAAACATTTCTAAACACCAGAGACAGAAAGCCAAGCTTGCCCCTCTGCCCAGAGCCTCTTAGTGCCAGGCTCTGCTCTGGGCTGTGGGACAGTGAGAGTCAGTGGATGGACAAACCTCCCCGCCAGCTCTGCAGAGAGATGCACAATGAAGCAATAAAGGCTGGCGCAGAGGCTCTGAGACCATCTTTAGCCTTAAGCAGGGACTGCCCCCTGAAGGCTGCTTGAAACCAAACAACAGCTCAGCTACACCAGCAAACAATGTCTGCCCTGAGCACTGTGCTCCTTTCAGAAAGCCTGAAGCAACACCGAAGGTTGGACGGAAGACTTGTCTACCTGTGAGTTTTTGCAAATGGGGAAGGCCCACTCTGAAAAGCAGGGTGAGATTGGTCACACAACTTAGAATTGTAAATGTGAATGGTCAGATAACAAGATGGTAAGTGAGGAGTGCAGTGCAGTTAAATCCTGTCCACATGACAAGCTGTTTTCTCAGGAAGTGTCCCCCTCAAGTGTCCCTTTCAGGACAGTTCTGGGCCCTCCAGCTGGACCTGGGGAGCCAGGTGAGCCCTCACTAGTGGGCCTTGATCTCTGAGTACTCGTTGGTGCTGGTGTCCTCCTGGTCCTGAGGTTCCTGGGGCTTCAGTCCCCAGATCTTGATCTCCGAGTACTCGTTGGTGCTGGTGTCCTCCTGGTCTTGAGGTTCCTGGGGCTTCAGTCCCCGGAAGACGAGGGAGGCGTAATGGAGCTCCTGGTCTTCTTCCAAGTGGGAGCTGGCCACAGCTGGAGGTGAGGTGACCACAGCCAGCGGTGAGGCGTCTGGGGGTCTGCCTGGCTGCGACTTCCACTGGTGACCCTTAATGGAAAGAGGGAGAAGGGGATGGAGACCCAACATAATTAACTATAACACTGTCTGGCTAAGGAACCAAGGAGTGAGTATAGTACGTATTGTGTCCTGCTGCTAACCATAAGGTCAGTGGTTTGAATCCACCAAGTGGCTCCAAGGGAGAAAGGTGGACTTTCTCCCACAAAGATTTACAGTCTTGGAAACTCAATGTTGTTGTTGTTGTTATGTGCCATCGAGTCGTTTGCGACTCATAGCGACCCTATCTATGTACAACAGCCCTAAACCCTGCTCTATCCTGTGCCAATCTCATTTCCTCTGACACACCCATCCCGATTACCCCAGTCACTAAATCAATCCACCTCATAGAGGGTCTTCCCCTCCTGCGCTGTCCCTCCACCCTCCCAAGCACGATGTCCCTCTCCAAGGAAACCCAGTAGGGGTTGTTTATGAGTCGGAATAGATGTGGCAGCTGGGAGTTTGGGTTTGATTGAAGGATCCCTGGTGGTACAGCAGATAAGCATTGGGCAGCAAGAACCCACTTGGGCTCTGGACAGCAAGGCCAGGGCGTCTGTGTTCATAAAGCTTACAGCCTGGAGAACTTACAGGCAAATCTGCTGGGTAACATGGGGTCACAGAGAGCCACAATCAGCTTGAGCATTCCTGACAATTACAACAGCAACGATGCCTGGTCCTCGGTAGCTGATTTCCTGTCTCCTACAATCCCCCCCACAGCCCCAGGAGCGAGCTTCGAACTGCCAGACCCTTTGGCTAATGCCCGAGCGCTTAGCCACTGAAGCGCCGGAGCACACGCAGGGTCCCCAGGGGTCACTCGCTGGCTGGGAGCAAAGGGACGTGTTTGCAGCGTGTGGGGGACGGTGGGTGGGAAGCAGAGGGGGAGGTGAGACCCTCTCTGAAGTCAGGCCTTGCCAGCCATAGTGGGGGGAAATTTACACTGGATTTTCTTGGAAGCATCCCAAGTCCTATAAGCTGAGGGGGGGCAAGTGGGTATACAGGGGGAAATGGGGTGAGAGTGGTCTTGGGGACCCCAAATTTTATGTCATTGTCAGAACAGAGTGTGATCCTGGGGTTATCCCTAATCTGCAGTTCGCTTTATAGTGAGAGTGATCTGAGGGCCATTGAACTAGACAGTTGAAAATTACCACTTTAGGGAGATGCCTCTGGAGTTTTGTCTTGGGGGAGCAGGGAGAAAGAAGGTCAGGGAACCAGGCAGAAATGAGATGGGGGACGGAAGGAATCTATTGGGGTTCCCCAGCTCTTGGTGGTCCCCCCAAGCTCCAGGAGATGAAACAGGAGGCAGAAGGGGGTGACCCCTGGGTCCTGGGCTGGGTGACGGGTTGGTGGGACCCAGGAGAAAAGCTTATTGGGGAAAGATGACAGCCTGAGTCATCAGAGGAGCCGTCGTGGGGAAGTGACCAGGTGGGACCTGGATGGACAGAGGACTCACCCGAGAGGTGTCACTCGAGACAGAGCGGCCACGGGGTCCTCCGGCAGCCGGCCTGGCTGTCTTCGTCCTGCAGGTCTTCACCCTGAGGGAGGAGTCCGGGTCCTTCAGGGGACTGCCTGCTGCAGAGGCCAGAGGGCGACCCCAGACCTGGGGTGCGTGGGCGCCACGTGTGTCCGGAGAACGGGAGCTCCCTCCTGGAGGCTGGGACTCACCCCTGCCCTCAATCTCCTCCCACTTATGTTACGTCGACTCAGAGTCCTGGTGACCCAGGGGTGCAGAGTAGAACTCCCCAGAGGGTTCCAGGCTGAGGGCTTTCAGAGGTGGGATCACCAGGCCTGAGGAGCCTCTAGTGCATCCAGCCATCAAGCTTCCAGTGCGCAGGCGGCCCTCTCCCGTCCGCCCCGCCCACTGACCCTGAACTCCAAGGGGCTGACAGTTTCAGGAGTCCTGGGTGACGCATACTGTTAAACACTTAACTATTAACCAAAAGTGGACAGTTTGAACCCACCCAGAGTGCCTTTGGGGAGGAGGGGGAGCCATTGAAAACTCTCTGGAGCAGAGTGGGGACCGCCAGGAGTTAGAACCCACTTGAAGTTTGGGGTTTGGGTTTTGATTTCGTATGGTTTGAACTCGGCTAGTAACAAAAAAGGTGGATGGGGAGCTCTGGGGGTCTAATGGCAAGAAGTTGCACTGCAATACCAAAGATACACGGTTCGAATCCACCAGATGCTCTGCCGGAGAAGGAGGAGCAATCTCCTCCTACACCTGTCAGATCTGACTTGACGGTACACACAAATTAATTTAAAAAAAAAAAAAGGTGGATGATTCAAATCCACCCCATAGAACCGCGGAAGTAAGGCCAGGCAGTCCACTTTTGAAAAAAACAGCCACTGTTAAAGCCTAGGAGCCCAGTTCTTGCCAGACTGACATACATGGGCCCCCAGGTGCCAGGACCAACTCTGAGGCAACTGGCTTCCCGAGTTTCTGTCCCTAAAACCAACCCTTACAGCAGTCACTGCCCCGTCCAGGTGTTGCCACCTGGGACTCTTGGGGACTCCAGGGCCCCTACCACCTCCCAGCCCCGAGGAGAACACTCACATGAGGAAGATGAGGCAGGAACAGAGACCGAGCAGGGCCGTGAGACCAGCTCCCAGGGCCGCCGCCAGGACAGATCCTCCCCCAGGTTCAGGGCTCCCTGCAGTGGAGTGGGGGGGTTAGAGAGGTCCCTCTCAGAGCCCCAGGACCCTCGAGCTTCCTTCTCCCACAGGAAGTGAGTTCCCCTGTTCATCAGCCCCCAGCCAGCCAGCCCCAGGCGCCCCCTTCCCTGCAGCCCCAGCCTGAAAGCTCCACATCCTTCCAGCATCTTCACTCCCTCCCCTCGAGCCCCCCAGCTGACCCCTGACCTGGCAGCTGCAGGACAGTGACTCTGTGGAGCCCGTGGTCATTCCTGGCCTCGCAGTGAAGTCCGAGGTCTAGGCTGAGCTGCTCATGGAGGGTCAGGGAGCTGTTGGCCCAGGGTCCCTCCGAGATGGAGGTGACAGTGACAGGGATGTTGCTGCTGTTCCCCTCCACCAGCCGGTCCCCAACCCACCAGAGCAGCGAGGGCACCGGCCGGGCTCGGGCAGAGCAGTTACAGCGCAGACCCTCGGCCTCCCAGGAGCAGGAGGGGCCAAGCAGCTCAGGGGGGTCTGCGGGGAGTTAGGGGAGCAATCAGAGGTGGGTCCTCCTTCCAGGAACCACATGCCTGCCCCAGGGGCCCCCACACTCACAGAGCACAGAGAGGTGCAGAGTCACGTGCTGGGAGCCCAGAGAGTTCCGAGCTCGACAGGTGACCTCCCCTTCATCCTCCTTCTGCACCCGAGGCAGCTCCAGGACCCCGGGGTCTGAGGACTGTGAGAGGTTCAGGGGGAGTTTCCCCCAGTCCCAGCTCAGCGTGGCAGGGGGTCTGCTGTCAGCCACACAGATGAGACACAGGGACTGGCCCGCTAGGACTGGGAGGGCCATGCCATTCGTGAAGTTTTCCATGGCTGGAGGGGAGGAGGGGAGACTCAGGAGACATACAGAGCTGGGGGACAGGGACCCCCATTCCCACCACCTGGGATCAGGATGTGATTCTCTAACCTCCATACCTGTCCTGTTTGCTGGGGACACCATCACTGACAGGTTCTCTGGAGGGTCTGAAACAGAAGCAGGGGCCTGGCTCAAGGGGGCAGGGGCTCCCCTGGGTCAAAGGGAGCCATCCCGACCTGAGGAGCTGGGGTGGGGATTGACTCACCTACTGAACCCAAGACTCAAACCACACAAGGATTCCAACAGGTGGGGAGCCTCCTGCCATTGCCCTGAGTACAGACCCCTCCCAGCTCTGGGACCCTGACCCCAGGACCCCCAATTTGCTAATATCACCCCCACACACATACACACTCACAGTGCACAGATAGGTCCAGCCAGCGCTGCTGGGAGCCCAGCCTGTTCTCTGATCGGCAGGTGTAGCGCCCTGCGTCCTTGGGTCCCACCTGAGGCAGCTCCAGTATCAGGCTTCTGGGCCCCGAGGGAGGGGACCAGGAGAGCACCCTGTCACTCAGGACCCAGCTCAGCGTGGGTGGGGGGTGGCCATCAGCCGCACAGAGCAGCCGTAGGAACTGGCCTTTCTTGACGTCCACTCGTGAGTCCTTTCCCAGAAGTCTCCGAACTGGAGAGAGAGTGAGCGGGGCTGCACAGAGAAGCACCACCTCCAGCGGGTCCCCAACTTTTTGTTCCCTATATTAAACTGACTCAGCCCCATTCACACCACCCCCACCCCCTGTTACCTGATGTATTGGTCAGAGAAAAGCTGATGATAAGGTCCTTCGGGGCATCTGCAACAAGACCATGAGGCGACTGGAAGGAGTGCTGCCCCCCAGGTACAGAGAGAAAGTGTGACTGTCCCTGGTCCTCCCTGGGACCGTGGCACCAGGTGCACAGTGGAGCCCAGAGGACTGGAGCTGTCCCCGTCACCTCTCAGGACAAGTCAGCTTCCTGGAACCCATCTTTCCTCCTGGGGGACCCTCCCAACTCCAGCATGCTGGTTTCCATGGGCTTCTTCCCTCTTTACCCTGGCCTGTTCCTCCCCCACAAGTCCTTCCCCCCACAGACTCACGGGCCACTCTCAGCTGGACCTTGTTTGAGGAGCTCACACCATTTTTCAATTCCACTCCACAGGTGAGCCAGGCTTTGTGGTCTTGGGGCCTCGGGGTGACAGGGAGCACAGAGAAGGAGATGTAGTTTCGTGGTGCAGCTCCTTGTGAGGAGAGGGCCACCCCAGTCCAGGAAAACGTGGGGGATGGACATCCTTCAGGGTCCCCAGGAAACACACAGAGCAGTGTTGCTGGGCGGCCAGGCTCCAGGGTCTCAGGGACGTAGATGCCAGGCTTCTGCATCAGGTCTGGGGGGGGGGGTGTCTTAGTCTCAGATGCCTGGCCCATCCCCCAGTCATCCCCAAACAAGCTGGCTCCGTACCTGTCACTCTCAGGGTTACCATGTGTTCTTTATAATTATATTTCACAATGTTTCCTCTCTCCACCTGAAAGAAGTAGTTGGCCGCGTCCTGCCTCCTTGCATCTCTGACCAGCAGCGAGCAGCTCCCGTCCTTGGGGTCCCCGAGGAGCTGGAATCGGCCTCTGGTCCCCTCTTCTACTTTCCTTTCTGGATTGTTTGTGGCCACTGGAGCCCCAGTGAGAACATCGGTCTGTTCCCGGAACCAGTAGCCATGAGCTGGATCAGACCTGACCCAGCCCATCCAGGGGTGGGAGAAGGTGCAGGGTATGGAGACGCACAGGCCCTCCTGCACCGTCACCACCTCCTGCACCCTCAGCTGGTAGCTTCTATAACGAGAAACTGGGAACCTCTGGGGAGACTGAGGCTGCTGGCCAGCCCCAGTCCCAGCCGGGGACCCCCAGACCCCAGCACACGCTGACCCCCACAACAACAGCAGCATCAGGAGTGAGGCCAGTGGGGACATCTCTGCAGTTGCAGCGAGCCTGGCACCATCTGGCTTCTGGTCCGTCTGTCTGTCTGGGAGGTAAGCTCCCCAGGAAGCCCCAAGTGGGGAGGAGCTGGGACTGTCCACAGAAGAGGAAGCTCAGTGGTTATAGTTCCTGGGACACCGCCTGCCCCTTCTCCTCCCACAGATGGAGGCCACAGGGCCGAGGGGGGATGCCAGCCAAGGCCCTGTACACCGGGGCGTGGAGGGACAGCCCAGAAGTGGGGGGGGGCGTCATTCCTGGTAGGGGACACCTTAGCTTCTTGAAACTCCTCGAGTGACGTAAATATTTTGTATTGACCACTAACCTGAAGGTTGGCCATTCAAACCCACCAAGTGAGTTCAACTTCTAAGGTCCCCACAAGTTGAAAATGGCTCACGGTGGTTTGGGTTCTGCCCTGACCACGTACGAGCGTGAGTGGCTTTTAAACAACAGGAACGGATCATCCCTCAGGTCTGGTCAGTGGGTTGACGCAGTGCCTTCAGCTGTGGGTTTGAGCGGGGTGGAGACCGTGGGGTGGGACGACATTCTGAGCTGCTGTTCGTGGGGGTCCCTATGGGTTATGAAGGATTTAACAGCCCCTAACAGCAGCAACAACACAGGTCTGGGGTTGGCGCTCTGAAATAAAGGTCACTGTCCAGGGGCTGCAGGGAAGACCCTTCCTTGTCCTCTCAGTGGGGGGTGGGTCCTCAGGCCTTGGCGTTTACTGGCTTGTGGCCACATCACTCTAGTGTCTGCCTCCATCTCCACGTGTCCATCTTCCCTCCCTGTCCCTTCCCTCCTTGTGAGGACACCAGTCACACGGGGACCGGGACCTGCACTAATCCAGCATGGCTTCATCCTGAACCATCGCATCTGCACAGACCTTAAATCGGCTCAGCTCACAGGCGCCTGGTTGTTGGGACTGTGTTGTTGTTTGGTGTCCTCAAGGCCAGTGCAACGCGTGGCCACACTCTGTGAGGGGATCTGAACCTTGTCTTCTCCTGCGCCATCCGCGTCCTCTCTGACGCACTTGAGACCACTGTTTCGAAGCCACCTCGCTGAAGATCTCTCCCTCTTTCGCTGACCCTCCACCATTCCAAGCATAACGTCCTTTTCCAAGGACTGACCCTTCCTTGCAGCGTGTCCAAAGTATATTAGACAAAGCTTTGCCGTCTTTGCCTCTAAGGGGCACCTGGTTGAACTTTCTCCACGCCGTATTTGTTCATTCTTTTGACAATCCAGGAGGTATCAGTACTCTTCTCCAATATCATGACTTCAAGGCATTGATTCTCTTTCAGTCATCCTTAATCATTGCCCAACTTCCAGATGCATAGTAAGTAATTGAAAAGTCCATGGCTTGTCAGGTGCACCTTAGTCTTTAAACTAGCATCATTGCTCCCTAGCCTTGCAATTATGGGGAAAATTCAACCCATAACATCATTTCACCTTTATGTTCTTCCTCCCCCAAAATTTATAACCTCAGTACAATCAGGATTAAAAGACATTAGACAGATCCCAGTTGAGCAGCAGTCCATAACATCTCTGACCTTTATTGCTCTAAACTCCACAGGTCATCAGAAATAAGGCACAAAAATGGTGGACATGATTAGTTCACTGAACTGTACATGTTTCTAAAAATATTGACTGAAGGATGTAATCAGCATCACTTGAAAATGTTTGATGATGCTAGGTGCCTTGAGTTGGCCCCAAACTCCTCATGGACACACTGCCCAGTCCTGGGCCAACCTCACCATCCTTCATCCATCATGGCGGCCTCTGAGTCAGTCCATCTCAGGGAAAATCTTACTCCTTTTTTAAAAAAAAGAAAGAAAAATTTATTTATTTTAAAATAATCTCCAACTTTATATTTGGGGGGGTTTACCCTTAAAAATTATTTATTGCGATTTTTTAAAATGTTTACAGAAGGGAGCTCTGGTGGCCTAGTGGCAAGAAGCTGCACTACAATCCCAGAGGTGCACGGTTCAAATCCACCAGATGCTGTGCCAGAGAAGGAGGGACAATTTCCTTCTGTACCAGTCAGATCTGATTTGACAGTACATAAAAAAAAATTAAAAAAATGTTTACATTTTCTTTTCTTATTTTTCCCCTTTAAAAAGAGTTTGGACCTCATTTGAGAATTTAGCTATTCTTGTTTTGTTTTTATGAATGATGTTTTAATGCAGCATATATATATATATATGTTTCTTACAGCATATTCTTTCCATTTAATTTCCCCCATTCATTCATTATTGCACATTTTCCTCCCTGCCCGCCCCTCCCCTAAGTTTATTTTTCTCTTTGAAAAAAAAATTCTTTCATTGTTAGACAATTCCCCCAGTCCACAGTCCATTTTAATATCCATTTCTTTTTCTGTAATCTTGCCATGAAAATAATACCTAATCTCCCTCATCTGTTTCAATGCAGTCTTACTCTTTTTTGATGACCCTCAAAGTGACCAAGCATGATATCCTCCACCAAGATCTGGTCTCTCCTGCGAACACAGGTAAGAATATTTGATTTGGTAAATGTTTTTCTACGCATCATTTTGCCATCATGGGGAGAAAACCAGAACACGCATAAATACTGACGTGCAAATGGTCTGTTATTTATCATTATAACAAAAAGAAAAGTGAAAGGGGGGAACCAGGACCATTTGAGATAATCGACAGAGAATGAAGGAGACACAGCGGTATGGAGACGGTGATGGTGGCTGGTACTCTTAGTGGTGATGGTGGGGTTGCGGGGGTGATGTTGTGGTCTTGGTAATCGTAAATATAGTGGTGGTGGTAGCGCTGGGGTGGGGTGGTATTGTTCTTGGTGTTAGTGGTACTGTTGTTGGTGGTGTTGAAGGTGATGTTTTGTTGTTTTGGGGTGATGGTCTGAATAAAGGTGGCTGCTGAGAGACGGTATTTTGTTGTTTGTTTTGGGGGGTCATGGTGAGTGAAATCCGTCTCCTAGAAGGGAGGGAGAGGGGAGTTAAAATTAATAAATAGATGAGTTGGATGAAGGGAAAGGCAGGAGACAGTAAGGTTTTATTGGTGGTGGTGTTTATTCTAGAGTTGGTACTGACTCATAGTGGACCCTTGGCGGGTTTCCAGAGACAGTTAATCACACAGGGGGAGATGGTCCATCCCTCTTCCGCGGAGCAGCTAGTGGTCTCGAACCTCCTGCCTTTGGGACTGCAGCACAGCTTCTTGCCACTAGGCCACCAGAGCTCCGTAAGGGTTTGATTAGACGTGTCACTGATAAAGATTTTCATTACTCTTATAAAACACATTGTGAATAATTGGATGAAAACACAACATGAATTGGGAACTTTCACTTATCTAGAATTTGTTTTAGAAAACTTGCATTTTAGGGAGCTCTGGTGACCTAGTGGCAAGAAGCTACACTGCAATCCCAGAGCTGCACGGTTCAAATCCACCAGATGCTCTGCTGGAGAAGGAGGAGCAATCCCCTCTTGTACCAGACAGATCCAATTTGACGGTACTAACAACAACAACAAAAATAACAAAAAAAATAAAAATTAAGAAAAAAAACCACTTGCATTTTAAAAATCCACCCCTAGTCACTGGACAGGTCGGGTGGAATATGCCGGATGAGCCTCCCGGGCTGTGGTCCTCACTGGCGCAGACCGCCTCAGCTTTTTCCTCCAGGATCAGATGGTGGGTTAGAACCCCTCACCTGTGGCTTAGCAACCAAGCGCTTTAACCACTGCTCCATCAGTGCTCTGATCGGCAGGTGGAAGGGTTAGATGGCAACACATGTTTTTCTTAGGGACAAAGAAATCCATGGCATCGCAGGGCCTGATGGTGAGAAGGAGCTTGACCAACCTGTTCTTAGGTGGCCCCACTACGAGGAGGTCTCGGTGATGCTGTGGACACGCCCCCGTCCCGCCCCGGGCCCCGCCCAGGCCCCGCCCCTCCGGCTGTGGACTCCCAGTACCTGCGCTCGCGCGCCCCCTAGCGGACGCGCGGGGCTTGCGTCCACTAACCCTGTCACCCTGGTCCCGGGAGCCGCAGACGGACGAAATGGGCTGAGTGTCTTACAAAATCGAGGAAGGAATTGCCATGCAAATTACTCGACGTGCACGGAAAAAGTCTCACTTCCTTGTTTCCCACCTTTAAGCAAATTTGACTTCCCGTACACTTGTTCCTCAAAAATGAGGCGGATTTGGGGAGCTCTGGTGGTCTAGTGGCAAGAAGCTGCACTGCAACCCCAGAGGTATGAAGTTCGAATCTACCAGATGCTCTGCTGGAGAAGGAGAGGCAATCTCCTTCTGTACCATCAGATCCGATTTGACGGTATATACAAAATAATAATTTTTTTAAAAAATTAAAAAAAAATGAGGTGGATTGTACGACTTAGATTGCAAACGCACCACCGTATCCAAGGCTGTGAATCCCCAGGAGGGAGGACACAGTCCATCAGCTTCCCCTTCTCTGGGGGATTCGAACAGCTGGAGAAGCGGTGCGTTTTTAGTGAATAGCAGCAACATGAAACAAACTGCACCGCCACGTGTTCTATGGCTTAGATCTTTCTCCTGAAGAGTCCTTTGCAAATTCCCACCAGACAAGCGCCACCTTTGAGAGGTCCACAAAACGGAATATGTTGTTGTTGTTGTTATTGTTAGCTGCCGTGGAGTCTGAATCCTGTCCTATCCTGTGGCATCTTCACATTTCCTGACACACCAGAGCCCACTGCAGGCAGTCACCATGTCAATCCACCCTTCTTCACCAACCCTCCACTCTTCCAAGCATCATGTCCCTCTCCAAGGAATAACCCCTCTTAGCAACATGCCTCAAGTATATGAGGCAAAGCCTCATCATCCTTGCCTCCAAAGAGCACTCTGAACCCCAACAGCACCCCCTCTGTAGTGTGAAGAGAGCTCATCCCCCACCTCCGCCCCCTCCACCCCGACCCCAGTACCCCCCCTCCACAGATGCAGAGAAAGGGCCACAGCTAGGGGTCAGAATCTGGGAACTCAGCTCTGAAATCTCATCACTGGCCAAAAACAATGGCTTCCGCTCTACCTTCCCAGCTTCTGGTCCCTTCTGAAAAATGGGAGTTTTCTCCCCACTATTTTTATTTTTGCAATTTCTTCTGCTTTTTTCGTGGGGGAGAATTTGCATGACAAAACATACACCCACTCAGTGTTTTCTCCACTTTCAATTCCAGGACATCGGGTTCATGACTGGCGTTGTGACACAGTTCTCGCTCTCGGCTCACGCTGCGTCACTGTGAATTACGCGCTCTGTCCGCTAAACTCCTGTTTTAGAATGACTGATGTCAGCTCGATCACACATAGATAATTCTTTTAAAGAGCTCACTGCTCCAGGCAAACGTTATTATCTAAGCCAAACTGTGGTTGATTTCAAAGATGACCTCATGGCATAGTTTCGGTCCCAGATTAGCTCAGAGCCAAAGATTCAGTTCCCCCAGTCACAATGGGCTCAGGGAGTGTGCTTTCTATAAAATGTTTGGCTCTGTAGCGAGCTCTGGTGGCCTAGTGGCAAGAAGCTGCACTGCAATCCCAGAGATTTGAACCACATATGTTTGAATCCACCAGATGCTGTGCTGGAGAAGGAGGGACAATCTCCTCCTGTACCAGTCAGATCCAATTTGACAGTACACGCACAAAAAATAATAAAATAAAATTTTTAAAAAAAGTTTGGCTCTGTTCCACATTTCCCCTCCCTTTGATCACAGTCCAGCTATCAGATCCTTGGTCAAAACCCTCAGGAGTAAGAAACTGTTGCCCTCTGATAATCTCAAACCTAAAGAGTCAAATACTCCTTAAAACCAAGGAATTGTTCTGCAAGGGTGGTGAATCAGAACTGACTCAAAGCTGACCCTACAGTGGATTGCTAGAGACTGTAAATAGCACAGAGGGATATTTCCCTTCTTTCCCCCACAGCATAGCTAGATTTGAATCAGGCCTATATGAGCCACAGGCCTTTGTGTTGGCAATGCAACTCTACCACTAGGCCACCAGAGTATAACTCGTCAAGAGTACCTGCCTCAAAACAAACAAACAAACCTGCCTTGAGCATTGTGTTCTTTTAAGATCTGTCGTGGTACCAAGTGACAGCAGGGTAGAAGAGGTACTTGCACAACTCAGAGAATGCCATTGTTGTTGTTATGTGCCTATAGCGACCCTATGTAACAGCTCTGAACCCTGCCCTGTCCTGAGCCAGTCTCACTGTCCCCAACACACCTACTCCCATTACCCCAATCACTGAATCAATGCATCTCATCTGGGTTCTTCCTCTCCTGCACTGTCCCTCCGCCCTTCCCAACATGACATCTTTCTCTAAGGACCAGTCCTTCCTGGCTACGTGCTCAAAGTGTGTGAGACCAAGCTTTGATTTCACCCTTTCCAAGACAGACTTCATTTTCTTGGCACTCCCATGGCATGTTCAAGACTCTTCTCCAGCACTACAGTTTGAAAGCATCGATTGTCTTCTGTCAACCTTAGTCATTGGCCAGCTCTCTGATGCACAGCAAGTAACTGCATGACCATGGTCTGGATCAGGCGCACCTTAGTCTCTAGGCTGACATCATTGCTTCTCAGGAGTCTCATTCCTCTTCAGTACACTGGAGAGGTCTCTGACAGCAGATTTGCCCGGTGCAATTCATCTTTTGATTTCCTGACTGCTAGTGCCAAGAGTGTTGACTGGGGAGCCGGGCAAGCTGGAATTGTTAACAACCTCGATATTTTAGTATCACTGAAATTGTGTGGACAGACGTGAACGGAGGGCGGAGTGACAGGTTCTCATGGCTCGCGGGCGCCACCTGTGGACGGCATCCCGCTATGACAGCTCTGGATGGCTAAAAAGGGGTCACCGTGGGTGAGAATCAACTCAAAAGCAATGAGTCGTCAAAGACTGGGGCCTTGAGGATCCTAAGAGACTGCTCCCCTCTCTCCTCTAGGGTCACTGAGTGGCACTCCCTTAAACAGCCGTGAGCAGGCGAGGCTGGCACTGCAAGATGCTGTTTGTTCTGTCAAACGCTGGTCCAAACCGAAAACTCAGTCTGTTGCTGTAGAGTCCGTCTGACTCACCAGCGACCCCACATGTGGCAGAGTACACCTGCAGCCCACAAGACTTTCAAGGCTGTGTGAGCTTTGGAAGCAGGTGGCCAAGCCTTTCTTCCGCCGCACCTCTAGGGTTGGCACGAACTGCCAGTCTTTCATCTGGTAGTTGAATACTCAGCTGTCTGAGTCACCCTCGACCGTGGACTCCAGGAAAGGGGCAGGGTCTGCGTCATTTCTGTGACCCTGGGGCAAACGTCTTCCTGTCTCCTCCCAGACACACAGGAGGCTCGCACTTCCCGCTCCCGCTCCCGGGTGTGGCTGTGTGACTCCTTTGGCCTGAGTGGAAGGGGCAGGCATGATCCAGGTAGAAGCGTTCAGAGCCCGTGAATCTCTTGCCACTTTCATTCCTTCTCGGTGCCCAAGAAGGTCAGCAGCACCGAAGACAGCTGTTGAGAGAAAGAGACCTCTGTTGCTTTAGGTCACTGGGATGCTGGGGTTATATGTGAGTGCAGCATCACCCAGGGTGGCCTGACGGATAGAGCCCCAGGAGAGCCTGAAAGTGGAGAGAGAGGAGAAAGGGAGGAGAGGGGAGAGGGGAGAGGGGAGAGAGGGAGAAGGGAG